TATATATATATATATATATATCAAATTTTCAATGATTTGATGGCACCAAGTATAGATATATTGACGATTAATTTGTAATTATCAATATTTTGGATGGCCTAGATGTAATTATCCCAAAAGTGATCATAAACAGTCCCTTTAGATGGAAGCACTATCATAATCACATTTATTTTATTTATCTTATTTATATTATTTTAATAATCGATGATTTTTTTTTTTTTTTTTTGTAAATATTAGACTATTTTGATTATTTGTCTGATTATTGATGAGTTTTAATATGTTAGGACGACCATTTCTTAAATAAAATCATACCAAAAAAAAGGAACTCATGAAAAAATTATTGCATTCAGACTCCGGACATAAAATTTTCTTCTAGAGTCCAATGAGAGTGTGACACGTGGCAAGTGTGCCCCACTTCTCTAAAAAACCTAACAACCAATGTATTACGGTGGGGCCCACTTACCACGTGAGAAGTACCCACTGGATTCCAGACGCAAATTTATATCCAGTGTCCTAATGCAATAATCGCTCGAACTGATGAAGCCCGCCCTAAGGTATCGTAAATTAAGTATATGATCAATCTCGAAAGGTATTTATTTATTCATGGAGTGGATTGCCGGTCTCTGGAGACATTTATGCATAAATTCCTGTCAGAATTGGTTGAGACTTACAGAGTTTGAGCTATAATATTAATTCTTAAAATTTTTTTTTCTTACTTGATTAGTTGGAAGCTTCACCAACTCTTTATGATGGTTTAGTATTGTTTTGAAGGTGTCATCAACAAAATTTTCACAATTATTCGTGATATAATAATTGAGAATGTAGTCTTTTACTATGATGTAGCGGGTTCGAATCACACATATTGCCCTTTTAGCTCGTCTTTCTTGAATATATATATATATAGGCACAAATCTTGATGCATTTTGAGCATAAAATATTTTAAATGCAAATTCAAGATAATCACGGCCCCGATTTTAATAAGTTTATAATTAAACGAGCGTCTTGAATAATGACGACTTGTTGGATTAGGCATTTGATGCCTTCATAGCTTGATGTTGACATATATAGGCACGAATCTTGATGCATTTGATGCCTTCATAGCTTGATGTTGGATAAGGCATAAGAAATAAGTTGAGTGTATATTCCAAGATGCGATTGAACTATTGCCTATCCTATAATATATGTCATGGATGAATAAAAAAAAACCAATCTTAATTCAAATTATATATTTTTATATTATTATAAATTTACCTATATTTTTAAAATTGTTATAAAATACTTTTTTATTTATTTAATTTATCAATATTTTATCTTATGATTGCTTTTTAAGGTTCTTATTAATTTTATTTGATCTTAAGATTTAAGATGATATCATTAAATTAAATATTGATTGTGCTTAATTTTACTAATAATAATAAACCATTATTGTCTTATGAAATTTTAATAGATTTTAAATTTAATTTTATTTGAATTTTTTATGAAATGTTACCAACTTATCTATAATCTTAAATGAAAATTGTAATTATTTGAGCTCAATTAGTGTAATTAAGACTTTGTATTAGATAATGATTTTGAACTTAATTTTTGTTCCATTTTATTCCTTTTTTTTTACATATAACTTTAATTTGTATGTTATATGTGTTGAGTGAGTTGAGTTAATAAAATATATAGCTAAAATGTGTCTATAAGGATGTTGTTTTACACATTTATTATAAGAATTAAATTGCTTTGATAGAAATTCCCTCACACACACACAAAAAAAGAGAGATGATGACTTATTAGATAAAAATTTTGTGGTGTCGCAACACGAGCATTAGTGTTGCAGTGTTGGATCAGTCTCAATGTCGGATCGGGCTCAATTCAATGACACTATCATGTATTATTGCAATGCAAATGCTTGTTGTCTTGGACTTTGAGACCACGACTTAGAATGATGAGCATTAGAGCGAGAAGCTCGTGAATTACGTTTGTTAATATTGAAGAACTACTGTAGACTTCTTTAAACTTGGCTTTGTTTGCAACAAACAGTGCAAAAATGTTTCATGCCGAAAAAGTCACGGGGCAAAATGATAATTTAGCATCTTAATATTGTAGAAGGAAAAAAATAATATGAAAAAACACCAAGATTTTTATGTGAAAAAACACAAAAAAAGAAAAATAAAATATAAGACATAATTCAATCAAAATAATATACTATATTATGTAAATATAAGGGTACACCCTCTATCCCAACGTGGAGAACGATTTTATAATTTTTTACTAAAAAACTACACTTGCAAAAAAAAAAAAACAAGTTTTAGGAAAAGTTCAACAGCAGCCGTAATCTGGGTACAACGGTTGCAAGCAGTGGTCATTGATGGTCATTGGTCGACAGTGACAGGTGATGATGTTGGATAGTGGTCGATGGTGGTTAGCAGTTTCTGAGGTCAGTGCTTGACGGTGGCTGATGCTAATGAAGGCTTGTGTTTACTCATTGAATTTTTGTCTCCAAAATAAGTTATGAAATTCTACTTCTCCTTCTTCTCTTATTCCCACTCAAGTAAAGAGAGTTGGCTTATTTATAGTCTTTTTGGAGAGGTGCATTTCGGTATTTTGACATTAACTTTCCTAAGCATCCTATGGATAGGTTCACAATGATCCCTTCTGATTATTGGTGATTTTTATGGATTTGGGTGTCAAAATAACCTCAAAATTGAGTGATCTTTTTCTGACTGGATTCCTCCCATCAAGATGCTTAGTTCAACTATAAATGTATAAATATGTCAAATTCGGAGTTCATTTGATCATTCAATTGATAATCTAAAGCTTCCAATTATGCTTCAGTGACTTGATCTAGGTTTTATTGGATCTAATTGAACCAACATTGACATCATTGGGTTTGACTTGTCAAGGTTATCAATTGAATATAAAAATAGTGAAATTGAGACCCAGACGATCATGCATTTAAAATCAGAAGACTCATTATAAAAAAATGCATTGAGATTCTTATTTGAATAAAAAAAAATTATTGATGACAAATCAAATATATTTTAACTAAAAATAAAATAATTATATTCAAATTACCATGCCTATCATTTTTTGAGACTTCTAGATAAGCAATACCCTCCACAAATAATTAAACATCTTCCATAGACTCTTCTTCTACACCCTTGATTCATCTCACTTATCCATCCTTTGAAAAAAAGCTCCAAACAAATCTAATAAAAACAATCAATCATCATCATACTTCAACCAATATTAAATAATCCTTAAAAATGTTTAACAAATCATCAATTTGGATGACATCACACAAAATTCATTCTCATAACTTATAAACCACACATAAACAACATAAACTCATGCCATCAACAAAACTTGGACCAAAAATACACTTCTCATAATAATTTAATCACTCATAATTATAGAAAATTCACTTGCAAAAGCACAAAAGTGATTTCTTTCTCTCTCTACCGCCATAGTCAGCAGCTCTCTCCTTCCCTCGTCAAAGCTACACCATACCTTCTTTCCCATTTTCTTCCACAAGCAAAAGCGTTCCAGTCTTATCCTCCGGCTTCCTTTGAAACAACAACAACCTTCATCAAATTTCTTCTAAACATTACATTTGTCGAATTTCCAGAGATGAGCTGCGATCTGAAACAGCAAAAATTTACTGTTTCAGAAACTTAAACAAAAAATTTTCAGAAACTTGCATACAGAGCACCCAATTCTCATGCATTTACTTATCTCACACCCAAACTTCCATTTTTACAAAAGCAGCGCCCTGCGCATGGATAAAAAATTGAATTTTACTATTGAGAAGTGGTGATCGATTTACAAAAATGAAATTTTGGGTGTGAGATAGTTAAAATCATAAGAATTGACTGCTTCGTCTGTAAATTCTCCAAAAAATTTACAGAGATCGGTGTTCGCGCAAACAAAAGTTCACCATATCCTCAAAAGAAACCTCAATCCACAACTAAAACACGGCGCACCTCAGCCCAAGACCAAGCGCAGTTTCCACATCAAGCCGCCACGCCCACTTCCCTTCCTCCACCAACCTCCACACATCGCACAGCGCCACCATCATCATCATCATCCCCCTCCGCACGCCTGCAACGCAGCTGAATCCCCCGCACTCCCCTCCCGGCACCTTCCCGCCGGTGACCAATTCCACCCTCATCGAAGCTCGCTCACACAACGACGGCTTCTCCTCGAAAAGAACCATCTTGCAGAAGGCCGCGTTGATCCACGTGACGCGGTCCGCAGAATCAGAGATGAAACAGGGAGACGCATCGGCTTCGATCCTTCGTTTAATTTCCTCGCCGGAGGCGGTGCTCCTGCCGGCCTCCGTGATTCTCTCCACCTTCACGCACGCCAAACCCGCTTCTTTTTTCACTGAAGCGGTTGTTCTTTTCGAAATGTTTCTGCTTCTCCGTTTCTTCATCATCGGACGGAATCTGGAGCGGTGGGGATCGGCGGCGAGGAGAGTGGAGATCGCCGGCGGTTTCGGGGCTATCGGCCGGAACTTTAGCAGTATTCTTTGGAGCTTGGAGTCGACGAGCGGATCGCTGGACGTGATTTGCATGCTGAAGGTTGCGGTGGGCGGAGCAGAAAAAGAGCAGGGTAGCTGAAGTTAAATTATACATATATAGAACATTTTTTGGGTTAATAAAAAGGAAATTTACATACTAAACACACAATTCTTACGTATTTACATTTGTCCTTTGTAAATTTTCATATTTGGTGCACTTGTTTTATTAGGGTGTATTTGGAGGAGCCTAGAACGCAGCCCGCAGGTCGACCGCGGGGTTCGACCCGTGATCTACGTTTAATTTAAAAATGAAACTACGTTTTCGGATAAGCGGGCAAAACACACGATCCGAATGATACCGTCACATTCTCGAAAAATACCCCCGAACTTATAAGATGCCCCAAACGGGCCCTTAGATATAGAAGCTGAAGGTATAATTTTCTATCATGAGATGCTGTGTTTCATTGGCTTTACAACTTAAATCCAGATTTAGTAAATTCGATTGCCAGACAAGTTTATTCTATTGTCACTCGTGAGTTATTTAGCGAATTTATTCTATGTTGTTTATTATTGTCAATAAACAACATAGAATGTTAATCAATCCTAATTATGGTAATTGTATGAAAAATAAATCTTAAAAATGTTATCCATGTAGACGTGTAGATTAAAAAAATATATTATAGTTTTATATTAATATTTATAATGGTATTGCACCTAATTCTCTCTTAAAAGATATAAAATTTGGGACGTAGAAGAAGGCCAATGGGAGGCGAGATAGTGTAAAATTTTGACGGGACAGGAAAACACGTGTCGTGCAGGGTGTGCCTGGAGGGGAGCAGCCGGTCTAGAATAGTACACGTGCTACGAAACTATTGGAAGAAGAATAGATTCGCGCACCACCAATAGCTACTTTAAGGAGACACGTGTTGGTCTCGATGGCGACGTGAATCTGTAACCTGATTTGCGACGTCAACACCCGATGATTTCTAGGAGCTTCTTGTGGTGGGTGCGAGATGGGGGCGAGTTGGTTCGGTGGAAGGATTAATTCGGAACGTGGAAAATAAGTGTGGGATTGGAATGATGGCTACCACATGAAATTGGATCATTAGTGGTGACTAATCCAAGTTTTGGAGGTTTTGATTGGTGGGCAATAAATACATTGAAATAAGAGGAGGAAAAAACTCTTCTAGTGAATTCTTTTTTTACCTAATAATACCAAGATTTGTCAAGTGCTTTTTTGCATAATTTTTTATGCAAATTAATCACTTATATTAATTATTTTATTTTAGGGAGTATAAAAGCTTCAACTTTAATGGACTTATTGTGAACTTTTTATTGAGATGAAATGTTCTAATAAATAATAATAATAATAAAATTATGAATAACAAGAGTTTACTTTTTTGTATATATCAAGATAATAAAAAATAAAATATAAATATATCAAAGTCGGATTCATAATCTTTTGTCTCCCACTTGTCTTGCTTGAAATCACTGGCAATGCATGTGTTATACTATCTCTATTCCTCATCATCCAAATACGTAGTTCTTAAATGGAGCATCATTACAACAATCTCAGTCATCTGATTTATTGCAAAGCAGTGATCTAATTTGTGCATTTTTAATTAGAAAAAAATTTGAAAATATAAACATCTTGATTCATTGCGATCTCAAAAAGATATGAAATTGTAAGAAGCTTATGACCCAAGTCAACCCTAAGATAGGAAAGTATCTTAGTAATAGAATTGTGGAGATTTTTTGCATCATTTTTTGTCAACCTAATAGACGCATCTGAGAACTATTATTGCATAGATAAACATTGAATTGTTGAGCCATCATTGAAATTGATTCTCTCTCGTTGAAATGATAAATTATACTATGGTTGCACCTATTCTAAATCATTTTTAATGACAAAAAAATATATCTTACAATAAACGTTTTATTACAGACAATTGACGATCATATTTCAATTCATCAACCCAATCCAAGTGCACTCAAGATGTCAAGAGAATTGAGATGATTTGCTTCATTCATTAATGAAATAATCCACAATTAGTGACCACTATCATGCCATGAAAGCCAACTGCCGATTAAGAATATATATATTGTTCATGGACTAAATGGGTTAAGCAACGTTAGGGTGCACAAACTTTATTAGTTAATCGGCAGTTGGCTTTGATGATCACCCTAACTTCATGCACAAACTTTAAATGTTAATCGGCAGTTTGTGCACATTAACAAATATTATTCATATTCTTTATAAACTCATGATCACTAAAAAATAAACTTATCTATCATACAATATCTTATGAGCTTATTTCAATCCTTAAAATGTTTTTTTTTTTCAATTTATATATATGAACTTTGTGTATATAGGAAAATGTCCAAGCTAGGATACATAGAACATGGTAGAAGTTTTAAGTGCGTGACAAAAATAATAATGTTCTGAGATGTTCAAAGAGTGCACAAGTCAACGCCTTGGTGTCTTTCATCAACTTGCCTTAATTTGACAAGGCAGACACATTCTCATAAATTAGTCTCATATGCCCGTAATGTCATCAGCTGCATTAACAAACACAATATGATATTTCAAGTTAAAGTCTTTTTTTTTTTTGTGTAGCCATTTATGTAAAATTCTTTGGAGACAACCACCCTCGTGCCTATAAATAGGAGATGCGCCACCCTCAAGTAGGCTATGGGAGAACAATCTTTTGTTCTTTTCCATTTTCTAGTCAACGATTAAGTTGTCTTCCTCATTCTCCCTACATGTCTCACCTATATGATGTGAGGTCACTGAGAATTTTGGGTGGGTTCAATACTTTGAAATTTTTCAAAATCGGAGGATTGATGTTTAAAAACATTTTAATCATCAAATTTATTCAAGCATACACAATTAAATTTTCATCTAAAAGATTTTAAAGTTCCTAAATCATACATATGTTGGGAGCAACCTAATGGTTGCTCTATTTTGACCATACATGCAAAAATTCTTCAAAATTTTACAAACTCAACTTGTGTGTATCCATGTGCAAGTAATTTGCACAAAGATCATGGAGTTTTTAGACAAACTTTGAATTATTGGTTTTAATAATAAGTTTAACTCAGAATGCATTATTATAATTCAAAAATTAACATAATCATATTTTTAATTTTTTTTCATATTTTTTCTATAATTTAAAAAATGAGATTCAACTAAAAATTGTCATCAAAGATTATATCCATTAATTCTTTTACTAATAATTTTCATATATTAAATATAAATCTATAGCCATACTTCCCATCAATATGTTTGGCATCAACTTTTAATGCTTAAATTCATCATAAGAATAGAACAATTTCATTCAAATACAAATGATCAATATTAAATTTCTTTCCTCCAAGGAGTATAAGATAGCTTCTTAAAAATAGGTTTTATTTTAATTAATAAACATATAGTGCATATGGCTCTTATCCAAAACTATTCTAATTGTTTATATTTATTAAGCATAGACCAACCAAGTTTACTGAAGTCTTTTCTTTTTCTTCTTTTTTATATTTTATTTATGCTTAGGAGCCCTCAATGTTGAAAAATTATGTTTTCTTCAAAAAATTAAAATTCAAATATTAATTTGAATAATAGAAATCATATTTCTTTGTTTCTCTAAAAAAAATTATAATTTTCCAAAATCTAAAAAAAAAAAAAACCACATAAATGCACTTTACATAATCATCTACAATCACAATTCTGAATGATTTTTCTCTCAAGCTAATAAGGTAGATAGGTCCAAATAAATATGTATGAAATATAAGTCTAGAAATCTAATAAATTCCTAATTTGATTGCCATGCATACAAGCATCATAAACAGATATGATCAAAAAAAAATTCAAAATTTAACAATCTAATTACATAATGGTGCCTCATCAACAAATTTTCATCATATGTCATGACGCTTTAGGCATTTTCTTGATAACAAATGTTCAAACTCAAATTAAGAATCATCCATATATCCAATTTCATCAAACTTATAGTTAAGATGACTGGTTGAAGGAGACAGACCCAATGACACCAAAATCAGCCCTTTCCAAGTCCAAATAAAGTCGTTAAACCACTTTTGAAAGCTTTGAGTGGCTAATTAGATAGTCAAATGGAATTCAAATATGACAAACTTATAGCTAAATCGAGTTTCTCGATAAGATGAATCCATTGAGCCCAAAATCATTCAACAATTCCGACATTACTATGACACATAGAGCGTAGTTGTTCATGTGTGTTATAATGGACTGGTTTGAATTCCTTATTTACAAGTAGGTCACTCTCAAACTCTATAAATAGTCCTACCCATTTTAAGAATGTAAATTGAGCAGCTGGACCAAGAGAAAACAATCAAATTTCAGTATTATTCTGGACCAAAGACCTAATAGCCAATTCATGCTCCCACAACCTTAGACCACCACTGGTCGCCCCCTAATCGCTGGCGTCGATGAACCTATGGTGCAACGATGCACCTTAAAGGAGGTGCTACGACAAACTTTGAAGATGATGCAACAAAATACTCTGAATAAGATGCAATGACACATTTTAAATAGGGTGCAATAATTCCTAAAGTCGGTATAACAACACACCATTAATACAGTGTAAATCTTGGTGATAACTCCTTGCAATAATTGCTTGCAACAAGTGCATTTAAAATACGATGACTATTTGTGAACTCCTGAAGTTCTGTAAAACCCCCACTCACAAATGCAACCTACATGAATGACTCACAGCTCACACAATTCCTAACTATAGCCTATGTGACTCATATACATTATTGCAAGTCAACACTATGACCAACATGACCAACTGCGACCTATACACAACTTCCAACTCTAACATCTATACCCTACAAACATTATTATAGCTCACCACTATAGCCTACATGACTCAAACCTCACACAAATCCTAACTTCTTCTTATGTGGCCTACGATCATTCTTACAACTCACCTATACAGCCTATGTGCCAACTACGACCACAGGATTCACAGCTGACGCGGCTCCTAACTCCTGCCTCTGTGGTCAGACGTTATTACAGCTCACCACTGCAGCATACGTGGCCAACTCCGATCTATATGACA